GGACTCAACCTTGTGGTCGCTTACCAGTTTAATACACCATTTTCCAACAGAGGATTCAGGAGAAACCTCTTCATCCAGAGAATGGTTACAATGTGAAATTTTCTGCCATGTGCAGATGTAGCAGTGAATAAGGCACTTATATTTAAGCACAAGCTAGATAAGTACATGACAGAGAAAATAAATTGAAGGATATGCAATAGGAGGACACTTATGTGAAATATCAACACAAATGTTGGGTGAAATGTCTGTTTTTGTGCTGTACGTTTTAGCCAGGCAGGTCAACTCTGATAGGCTGGGGCATTGCCAGTGTAAGATTATCAGTGTGTAATTCATTCACACATACTAGAAACTACATTTATTCACACACAGTAATATGTCCACATATTGCACCTTCCTAACAAGCTAAAAAGAGCGATGAACAGCCAATTTGTGCTGTATCCCTGTGATTATGTTCTGATGAATCAGAATCAACATTCCTGGCTTGCACTCAATCAATGAACTAAGACAGATAACAGTTCCTGCTGCATCTCCACGCCATCCACTGTCCAACCACTCACTACATTCTGCTCACATTGCATAAAGTGTCACTCTTGTGTTTCAGTCCAGCTCAGTGCATGATGAAAGCTTTAACTTCACACCCCTTTTCAGCACAGATTAAGTTCTGCACCACGAAGCAATTATTTATAATTTCTAAGCAACATCACTCAATTGCCGAAAGGAATCAGAAAGAGATATCATTGGATTTTATTTTTTGGTGATATTATCTAGGAATAGTAATCTTCCTTAGAAAATTCAGCAGTTTCAATCAACAAAATTCACACATGGCATTATGTGAAACATATGATGAATTCAATATCATTATAGACATCAACATTTAATGAGCTAAACAGGGTTAAAACAGTCTATTTCTATATGTAATTAGCTGATCTACACTCTAATTTAGTTCTGTTTTAACAGTCACCCACTTAGTGAATCATACCCAAATCCTTTTCTTAATGCATTGTTGTTAATGTGCACCCACACATTGAGTACAGGTTTCATACTTCCTTTTCCAATGTGTTTTTCCTTACATTTATCCACATTAAAATTCAACAGAATTTCCTCAGCCCACATGGCATTTATGTCTGTACTTTGCTTCTCAGTAAATTTGAGTATCCTTTCATTTATTTAAGTTGAGTCACCGAAGTTTTCTTTTCTTAAATGCATCCTCTCTATTATTCGCCGCTTAATTTCTTTCCTTCACACTACAGTGGCATAATAAAGTAAATAGCTCATTCCCATTATTAGAATTTGAAGATGACAAATGCATCACAAATTAAACAAATTCAAGAGAACATTATGTGAACTTAGAGAATATATATTAAAGATATGTTCTTTTTCATGTTCCTAAGGAAGAAACAATTACTTTGAGCATCACAGATGAGTTGCTGAGAAGACAACTTCTTGCGCAACGTCCTTTCTGGTCCAATGCAAAAATTGCCTCGAAAAATCTGAAGTCACATTTTTGAATCTTGTTCCTATCTAAAAATGGATATAGAACTTTAAAAATAAAGAAAGGAATAAAGACCTGCACTCATATAATGACTTTTATGGCATGAAGATATCAGAAAACATTTCACAATTAATGAGACATTGTTATGAAGTAGGAAATATTGTAATCCATTTGTGCTCTGTTACACCCCTCAAACAGCAATGATGTAATGACCCAGATAATCTGTTCAAGTTGATTTGGTTTCAGTGATATAGGTTGGACATGAGGTGTATATTGTTTAAAACTTCAAAAATATCAAGAAATCTGGTTAAAGTTATAAGTGGAGGTGTTGAAGAATTATTTAATCAAGCTCTATTATAGAAAACAACAACTCACATATAATTTAAACAAGTATTATCATCAGTGCATTTTGACATCAGGCTGACAATCTAGATGGGGGCAGTCGCTGATAAAAAGTGAAAGACTTCAAACTGGTTCATTGTTTTTTTTCAGGTAGAGGTTAATGTTGCAGAGTTGGAGATACGTTTTTCTAGTGGTACCTGACCTGGGTAATGCTTGCATTAGATTCTGGGGGAGCAACTCATATTGTCAGGTATAAGAAGTATTCTGTTCTCCATTTTACCAGAGGCATTCACCCCATTTTATTTATTTATATTTTATTATTTCATGAAATATGGGCATCACCAATAATGTTAGTGAGACTGAGCTTACGATTACTGAGTTCCAGAATTATGGTGGGATTTGAACCCATGCATACAAAATAAAAATCTGATTCTTTGGGTAATTAATCCTGAGACACGATCACCATGTCACTATCTTCTCCAATTTTAAACAGAGTGATACCTTTGCTCAAGAATAGCAGAGGAATTTGATATAGATATGTTGGGAATTTCAGGATATGATAACCAGAGTAGAATTCAAAAACAATATAATCTTTCAAATAAAAAAAACTTCTGAAATAAAGAAACATCTGTAGTTATATTTGCTTTTTCTGTACAAACTTAACAGCTGCTCAAATGGTATTACTATACAACAACAACTTGCATTTATGTAGGATCTTTAACATGAGGCACTTCACAGAAGTATTATTGAACAGAATTTGACATATAAAGACACATTAAGATGTGTAACATGGTCAAAAATGTAAGTTCTGCGAAGCATTTTCAAGGGGAAGAGAGTGAGAAATAGGGAGGGATTTCTGGAGATTAGAATTTAGGCTGTTCATGTCACAGCTACTGATGGTGGAATAATTGAAAACCAAAATAAATGTATGGCCAAAATTGAAGGAGCATAGAAATCATGGCCAGTTGTAGGGTTTTAGACTGTTATAGGGGTGTGGTGGGGCTGGGGGAACCATTAGAGAGCATTGAAGAATTTTAAAATAAGGACAGGGAACTTAAAAATTGAGGTGCTGCCAGTGCAGGAGTCAAAATAACCCAACCATGATGGATGAACATAAATTGTTGTAATTTAGGCAAGAGTCTTGCATACATTCAAGTTTATGGTTGAAAATTGGAAGTTGATGAGGACAGCATGACCCAGTCTAGTCTCAAAACAATGTGTGAGAGAGTTGTGACTGTAGCTAAGCTGAGAAGGTCATGGATGGGTGATATTGTAAAGGTGAAAGTAGATGTCTAGTGTGATTCTCATCTTGAGTCAGGAAAGGAAATGAATGGGTGTTGAGGGAACAAAGTTCATGGTGATGACTGAAGGTATTGGCTGCAGTCTTCTGTGTGTTTAAGGGGTCATATTTCCTGCTCATTCAGTACTGTGTGTTGAACAAGCAGTGTATTGTGTGCTCGACAGACTAAATCTGCCTCATGTTTCATTCAAGGAGAGGATAAAATTCCAGTGAAATACAGTGAATTTATCAAAAACTTAGATTAGATTTTATTGTCACATGTACCCGAGTACAGGAGTACAGTGTAAAGCGTAGAGTCACCATTCTCTGGTGCCATTTTAGAATACAATAGTTAGAACTAAAAACAAGAGCCAAAATTCAAAGGAACAGAAACAAAAAAAGAAAATGCCCAGATTACCATCACTGCTGGTGCCATGAGTCTTAAGCCAGGCTTACCAATGCCGCCTGCACTGGTCTCACCATTGCCATGAGTCTGTGTCTTGCCACCACTTGTGCCAGACCCACTAACGTTAAAGGTGCCATGCTCCAGCACATCACTTGCTGCAGGACCCACCTCGCTGACACCGATGCCATCTTGGAATCAACTGAAGTATCAGAGTCCACAACCTTCCTGAACAAGTGCAAGAGTGTAACCCCCTGAACCAGTGCCAACATCAGAGCCACCACTGATGCTGGTGCCACTGCTGCTCCCTGTGCTGGACCCACCAATGTCGAAATAGCCACACCCACAGTTGAGCTCCCCAACAGCAAAAGGTAAGAGAGAACTGTAAAAAAAAGTAGAAAGGAAAGGAGAAAAAAAGAAAATGAGAAATGAACAGAAGAAAGCAACAGACCAGCAAGAGCCTGAACACTGCTACTCCACCACCATCATCCTGGAATTTTAGTTTAAAAAACTTTTAAAAACTTTTAACTTTAGATTTTTTCAAACAAACTTCTAAAACTTTATTTCTAATCAGTCAGTAAACAATCACGTTGTCATAGTTGACCCCAATCTGAGCTTCTGACCACATAGGTGTTCCATCACTAAAAAACTACCAAAATTCACCACTGAGACATTGAATGACATGACCCTGGTTGTTGAAACCCTCCTTCAGAAGTATGTTACCTTAAGGCTTCACTACTTAACACTCTCCTGGCTGGTCTCCACATTCTAACCTCTGTGAACTTGAGATCATCCAAACTATTGTAGTCCTTGTCTGAACTCACAGCAAGATCCATTCCCTCCTCCACCCCTCTTCTCACTGGTTCACAGTCAAGCAATGATTTTGTTTTGAAATTATCGCCCTTAATTTCAAATCCCAATATAGTCCCTGCCAGTCTCTCTAATCTCCTCTAGCCCCATAATCTGCCAAATATGTCTGTGGTAATTCTTGCCTGTCTTGCACCCTAACTTTCATCTTTTGATGATTTTACTTTCGGGTAAGAGGATGTCAACTCGGAAATATTCTCCCCAGAAACCTCTGCTGTCCTTGTCTTCTTTAAGATCCTCCAAAAACTATCTCTTCCACATAGATTTTGATCATTTTATCTAACATCTCCTCATGTGACCCGGTGTTATATTTTGCTTTAGGCGAAGCCTTTGGGTATAGTATTTATTCTGTTCCAATGCACTATCCAAATTAATAAACTGCCGTTTGCAAAGTTGTATGTTCCAGATAGACGATGGGAGACGGATGCTGAATGGTCCTGCAGCTGCTGCCCATGCATATAGAGATCCTAAATTGGAGGGGGGCAATTCAGAGAAAGAAGCGCCTCCCTATTTGCCCCTGCTGCACTGAAAGCCCCTGTCGGTAAATAGGGAGGCTAGCTCGGGAACCCGCCCCCTAGCAGTGCAGGCGCAGGCGTGCTGAGATGCAGGATGAATGCCTGGTGTCCGGGTTGGAGGACACCCGAAGCAATAGCAAAGCACTGAGAGCCAGGGACCAGGAAGAGGAGGGGGACGACGCCGAATCGGAGACACACACACACACACAACACACACTGGAGTCCTCCACCCCATTCCCTGCAAAGTCACATTTTGTGGGGAACAGGTAAAAAAAATGCAAATAAAAAGTAAAGCAGCTGCAAACGGGCCGCGATGCGAGTGGCTGCTTAGTTGGTTGGAGAGGGATTGCTTCTGAGAAGCGGGCTTCGGTGTGCGGTGACCGAGGGGCTGTTTCCAGGAGATCTCTGGGCTTTTGGCAGGATGCCCACGTCCATAGCCTGGGAAATGTGGGCATCGTTTCTGTTTCACAAGTTCTCCAGCCTCCATGAAGACTGATCCGTGTCAGACTTTACTGGTAACATTAAATGTTTAATACTTACACCCTTGTTTGTAAATTACATATACTCACTTTGAATACGATATGGAGATAACCATAAGGTGGAGTCCGTGGTGCCGAAAATGTTTTAGAAATAACCAGGAACAAAGGTGAAATAGCGGTCATTTGGTTTTAGTGTGCTGTGTATGGAGCTCGGGTTGGATTTGAATGGCATGTTTGCAGGTCGCCGGTTAATTTTCCGGCCATCACATGCTCCATGGGGATTTCAGCACCTTGGACAGATACATCAGCAGCTCCCTGTGTTTTGAGTTCGTTCATCAGGCAATCGGCTGCTGTAGCACTCGCCCCCTTTTATAGACTTCTATATTGTGCAGATAAACAGCAATCGGGTAACTGTAATGGCAAGACAGAGATAAGGCTTCATGCATTATGCGTCTTATGCCAATCACTTCTGCAAATTAACATTTGAGCCTGAAGTATAGGTGCTTCGGAAATTCGCAGGCGGTTTACACGTGTTATCTCCACTTTGAAGAAAATTTTAACCCCCTATATGCGAAATGTTTGCAATTTAATTTATCCTTTAAAAAGTTAGCCAAACTTAAATGTTACAATACAAATAACCTTGGCTACAGTATCCATGTTCTGTTTTATATAGGCATGGAGAAATATTGCTTTAAAAATCTACAGACATGCTGACACATGTTGTCAAAATGAAAATCAGAACAATGTATATTCTGGATTGCAGTTATCTGTATACATAAATGCAAATATAAGTGTTGCCATATCTCAACTTTCTCATGAGTTAGCCGGGCTCTTCAGAAGGATTTGTTTTTAAGTATTAACCACGGTATAACCTTTGATGCATTTAATAAGAATTTGCTGTATCTGTGACAAAATAACTGCAGCTATCATCATTAATTAACAACTTGTCACATAGTGCTACACCAGATGATAACCTGGCAATGTTATTTAAGGAGTTAGGACAAGTGGCTGAAGGAAAGATCCAAAAATCCAAAATTATTTGACAAAGGTAAGTATGAAAATAAGGTGAAGGGTCTGATAGAGAATTTCAGTTGAAACAGAGACGTCTGAAGCTGAAATGGCAGGGGTTGTGTGGTGGGAGGAGATTGTGCAACATAAGTCAATGTCAGAACATTTAAGGGTGAAAATGGGTGAAGTGTTTCAGCAATGGATGAGCATTTTGTATTGAATACACTGGGGAATGAAGAACATTTGCTGACTGGTAAGAACATAGATGAAAGAGTGCAAACAATGGAACTTTAGAAGTGTTGCACTTTATGGAGGTAAGTAGTGGAGAAAATGGTAATTAAAACATCCTTAAATCTGGACAGGATGGAAGTGTGAATGAGGATCTCTGTAATTGTAAAACTAAAGGAAGGTCAGAGGAATGGGTGACTACAGAGTTTGGAAGGAGTTGGTCATTGTGGTTCTAGTTTGCTTCAAACAAGATCACTGTTAGGTTCAACCTACAAGGGATGGAAACAGTAATTAGTTTGCAGAGGATTTGACTGAAACTGAACAGATTTCAGTCTTGCTCACATTAAGATAATCACTGGATTTTTGCTTATACAGTACACGGTGAGTGATAGGTATAGAAATAGTTGGTAAGTAAAGGACTGTTGCAGAGAAGTAGAGCTATTGTCATTAGCACAAGTAAATATAGATCTTGCTTCCCACAAAATTATGTCACTCTATAAGAGCACCCTCAGAAACCTATCAATATAACACTGGAGTTTGAACAACCCTATTGTTTAGACACTGAGTTCCCTGTAGCAACTACAATGTAAAAGGAGGATGGCAAGAACAAGTGAAACATGTCTTGATATATAGTTGTAAAAAGCTGGAAGGATTATTACCATAGACCATCACAATGAACATTCTAGTAATTAGCTACAACCAGGGAAAATCTTGGAGGCAACATTGCAATCTGATTCCCTATTCAAGTACATGCGGGGAAAAATAAAAATCAAATAGTTAAAATTTGTTGTAACATAATATTTAGTTGACAGCAAAATGTTATTTGTTAATGATATTCTACCATGGCAAAAGATAGGCAATGCGTTTTAACTTCCTGGATTGAAATCTGGTGCTGTTTACTCAAATGATCCAGTTGTTTTGTGAGTGCGCAATTAAAAATTACTATTCATTCATGGAATATGGCCTAGCTGGCTGGACCAGCATTTCTTGCCTATCCTTAATTACCTATGAGAAGGTGGTGGTGAACTGCCTTCTTGGAACTGCTGCAGCCCATGCAGTATAGGTCAACGTGTTGTTAGCAAGGTAATTCCAGGATTTTGACCCATTGACGGTAGAGGAACAGTGGTATAGTTTCAAGCCAAGATGATGTCTTGGAGACAAACTTACAGGTAATGGCATTCCCATTTCTCTGCTGCCTTTGTCCTTCTGGGTCATATAGGCCACATGTTTGAAAAGTGTTGTCTGAGAAGCCTTGCTGAGTTGTTGCAGTACACCTTATAGATGGTATGCGTTGCTGCTGCTGTGCTTAACTGGTGGGTGGAGTGAATGTTTAAGTTGTTAGGTGGGATGCCAATCAACCAGGCTACTTTTTCCTGTATGGTGTCAAACTTCTTGACTGTTGTGGGAGGTGCACTCACCAAACAAGAGGGGAATATTTTCTCACATTTGTAACTTGAGTTTTGTAGATAGTGGACATACTTTGAGGAGTCAGAAGGTGAGTTGCTTGCGGCAGAATTCTTAGCCCACAGCCTGCTGTTGTAGCTACAGTAGTTATATGGCTGGAACAATTGGAGATGGTCATTGCCTGGCACTTGTGTGGTACAGCTCTGTTACTTGTCACTTATTAGCCCAAGTGTGAATGTTGTCCAGGTCTTGCTGCATTTGGATTTGGACTGCTTTACTATCTGAGGATTGGTGCTGAAAATTGATAATTGCGCAGTGAATACCCTACATCTGGCGTTATGGTAAAGGAAAGGTCATTGATAATTCAGCTGCAGAACTCCTGATGATATCCATTGATGCCCTAAGGCTGAGATGATTCACTTTCAATAACTACAATCATCTTCCTTTGTGCTAGGTATGAGTCTATCAAATAAATATTTGGACAGCCCAATACTTTTTACACAAATGTATTACTTTTAAAGTAGAGTCACTGTTGTGTAGATCAATATGGTAACTTAATATGTGTGCAGCATGGTTGTAAAAATAATAAATTAATAAATGATCTGCCATATGTTTTTAGTGGTACCTGTTAAGGTTGAACTGTTAGCAATGATGCCAAAAAGAATCCATACTCTTCACATACTACTTAGATTTTTGTGTTTACCTGAACAGTCAGCTGGCCAAAAGCAAACCATTTCGCACTACTCCCTCAATATCGCAATAAAAACATCAGTCTAAATGATATGCTTATTTCACTATGAAGTGTGAACTCATGACCCAGATGGAGAGCTGCTGATATTTTGTACAATGTCAAATTTAGCATAAAATCAATAGAACAGCAACACAATTTAGCAATAATTCCTACAAAGACCCGCTGATGCATTTCTTCCTGTTACAAATTTCCTTAGCCAGGCAAAATGTACCATGCACCCTTTCACCCACAAGGAGTCAAATTCAAATCTTTAGAAGAAACTTACTTTCTGGAGTAGAAAGCACACATTGCACATGTATCTCATATTGTGTGCGTGCAGTTTGCAATGTTTGCTGTTTGTGAGACTTCATTGTATATAAAAGTAGAAACATAGGAACAGAAGTAGCTTGTTCAGCCCCTCAAGTCTAGTATGTCATTAAGTTCAATCATGCCTTATTTGCATCTGACCTTCATTTACCCACCTTGACTCTCTGATCTCTAATACCATTGCTGAATAAAATCTAAAAACTTTTGTTCTTAAATGTTCAATTGAGCTTTTCAGGGAAGAATTCCAGATCACTATAACCATCCACATGAAAAAGTAGTTCTTGTCATCATCAGTGAACAGCCTAGCTTTAATTTTAAAATTGTATCTCCTTGGACTAGACCCCTTCATTGGAGAAAATAATCTATTTCTATCTATGCTGTCTCATCATCACCTTTAATCATCACAAATAATTGCAAATACAAGCAAAACAGAACTTATTTCCAATAATGAATAAATTTGTGATGTCTTTTCTTTCTGTCTTGTGAGCTGGCAAAAAATTCTGTATGACTAGGTTGTTTAGAGTGATAACAAATGATTGTTTCATCATTTGTAATATATCAGAATGCCAGCTTGGACTGATGAAAAGAAAGTTTATTCTCTCTGCTGTCTGTAATAACTAACATTAAAAGCATTTTAAATGGTCTCAATCCAGCTTTGATGGATTTTGCCCAAATCACTAAAGTAATGATAATTAAGCCAGCATGTGTAACATTACTCAAAAAGCAAAAGGAAGCTGATGTGGGGAGTAGATGACGATCACACTGGGCATTTGAGCTGCAAGGTTAAACTCAGCATTGAAATAAATCACTTGAAGCTTCACCTTATATTCTGTCCATTATGTGATCTAAGAGATGCAAACTGTGGGCTCTCGTATTGAAAAAGCACACATACAATATACAATTCTACTTTGTTAAATAGAAAAAAAAACTAGGCAGTTTCATTTGAACATTTAATCTCCAAACAACAATAATTTACATTTAAATGGTTCCTTTAGTATAGAAAGTCGCCATAACACTTCACAAAGATATAAAAGAAAAATAATTGCAGAGCCAAAGGAAAGAAAGATGAGGAAGAGTGGTAAATGATTGAATTAGATTTTAATGAAGGTCTTAAAATGAAGAGAGGAAGGTAGATAATTAGAAAATTTCTTTCTTTCTCACTATTTGCTTCGACAGCTGTCTTCTTGTACTAAGAACAGGGGAACAAAGATTTGCTTCTGTGAGAACACCATATCCTTTACATTATATGTACTAAACGACCATGTTAATGTCAAAATGTCCAAATTTGGTTCCACTTAACCAATTGATCAAAAATCAACAACTTTGAATTCACTATTCTGTTCCAAGATTGTTGGTCATTCAGGCTAATTATTTCTAAATAGAAAAGTATTTCTATCTCCTAGGGTGGGAAGCCCAAAACTAGAGGACCTAGGTTTAAGGTGAGAGGGGAAAGATTTAGAAAGAACCACAGAGGTAACTTTTTCATGCAGAGGGTGGTGTGTATATGGAACATGCTGCCAGAGGAAGTGCAAAGTGCAAATACTTAACTCTGATTTTTCCTCATATATGGGTAGCATTTATGACTGTCATGTTATTGTGAGCAAGAACTGAGAATGATAATGATCTATATTAAAACAGGTTACATTGTAAATAACAGTAGTATGCAGCCTATTTTCAAGAGTTGTGATACAATTATAGAATTAGACCAGCTAAATGTAGCTTCAGATTATTAAACCTTTCGGAATAGATGTATTGGGTTACCCTTTTTATCAAACTTCAGTCTTTTGTGATTTACAGGCTGGAATGCAGTTGTAAATGATGAGTTTGTGTGCAGAGATCTGCCAGTCGGAAAACTCTAACTATAATGCTGATTGGTTACATCAACGTTATGGAGTCCGATCATATCTGCATCAGTTTTATGAAGACTGTACAGCATCTATCTGGGAGCATGAGGATGATTTTCAGATTAAGAGGTCTCCAAGCAGGTGGACTTCTGTTGTCTGGAAGGTATGTCATAAGACCATCAGATAAATCAGCAGAAGTAGGCCATACAGCCCATCAAGTCAACAATACCATTCAATGAGATCATGGCTGATCTGAAAATCCTCAGCACTTTCTCCCATAATCCTTGATTCCCTTAATGATTGGAAATCTGTCTATCTCAGGCTTAAATATAATCAACTTCTAAAGAACTCTAGAGATTCACTACCCTGTGAGAGAAAAAAATTCCCCTCATCATTATATTAAATGAGCAACCCTTACTCTGAGATTATGCCCTCTAATCCTAGGTATTTCCATAAGCAACATCTCTATATCTACTCTGTCAAGTCTCCTAAGAATCTTTCAATGTTTCAATAAGGTCTCCTCTCATTCTTCCAAAATTCAATGAGTACAAGACTAACCTACTGAACCTCTTCCCATAAGAAAATCCTTCCATCCCCAGGATCAGCCTAGTGACCCTTTTCTCAATTGCCTCCAATGCCCGTATATCTTTCATTAGTCAAGGGGGCCAAAAATTTTCACAGTATTCCTGCTGTGGACTGATTTGTGTCATGTATAGTTTTAGCAACATTTATATTCCATTCCCTTTGAAGTAAACACCAACATTCCATTTGCCTTCCCTATTACCCACTGAATGCTAGATTTTTGTGATTCATACACTAGGACTACCCCCACACCCCCTAATTTTCGGTGCTTCTACAGTCTTTCTCCATTTAAATAATATTAATCTCTTCTGTTCTTCCCGTCAAAGTGCATAATCTCACATTTTCCCACACTGTGCATGTGTTGTTCTCAATATTTCTTCAATTTTTAAGCATAATGGCTCAGAAATTGCTGGAAGATAATTGTAAGTTCACGAGAACTACTAATATTCATTGATAATAATGGGAAGAGATACATCCTGTGTTCTGATAATGCCATATATTGCTGGAAAATTTCCACACTTAATTCTTCCAAAACTGAGAAAAAAAATCACCATACAGCTATGCATTTTCTAATTGTGTCATTAAATTGTTGAATGTACAAAATAAATATCAATTGTTTATGGCTGGTAAGTAACGTCATAAAGACAACTATATGATTTAGGATCCTGACATAAAATACAGTCTTGGAGGTCCAACAAGGGAACAAATAAAGTAAGGTATCACACTCCTCTGATCATAAGTTGTTACTGCAGCTTTTGAAAACTTAAAATTTAATTTCTTTTCTCACTTTTCCTTACTGTCTTTTTTCTTGTTGCTTTCACTTCCTTTATTGGATAATTATTTGGATGAAAATAACATGCAAAGATATGGGGAGCAAGCAGGTGATGGCACTCAGTAATGATGCTCCTTAACAAGCCAGAGCAGTCATGATGGGCCAAATGGCCACCTTATGTGGTGTAACACTTCTTAATTCTATAATTTTTTTGCTTTTCCATCTCTAACTTGATTATAATTCATCTCATTTTCATCTCTATTATTTGCTGCTTCTTTTCCTATCCTTAAATATTATTGCTTAAAGAGCATTGGTCCCAATGTTCAGGAAGTTCCAAGCATCCACTGGCATCACCGGATCATTATCAATTCAATTGGTTTGAATTTATGGTTTAAAACTTAAACTGATGGGTTAGGTTAAAAAAAAATACACTATGAGATGTGTTGCTTCATTAGTCTCTGGGAAAAACAGAACATTTCTGCATTAAAATGTTAAATACTAGTGCACTTCCCATTCTCAAGCTTTTAGTTCCGATTGTCTCTGTTTTCTATTAAGTATTGCTTTACAATTTGTGCTCTTACCAGCATTGGCAGCATAATACTTTCATTTTCCATTTCTAAGCACCTTAGTCTTATTTCTTTGCTTTCGGTTTGACCACAGTTATTTGGCAATAATGGTACAAAATCAATGCACTGTATAAAATATTTGGATAGAATGTATGATGCTTATGTGGGAACTTACTTGAGCAAGTTGCCATTATATGGTAGAACATCTATAATATATTTAGGACAGAAACCCAATAGTAAATGATCCACGTTTCATGTCAGAATTTGTGTAATATTTTCAAGAAACAGAAAACTTGCAACAGTTATTTTCCTTGAACAGGGAAAACAACTTAGTTCCAAAGGTACAAACATATTAAGGCATCACACTTTTCACTAACATTTGAATATGCCTAATAATGATGTAAATTAACATGATCTCATGAATACAAAAGAGCCTTTATAGTTTAAAATAGGTCAGTTCGCCCTTTTAAGCCACATTCCGAACATTAATTCGCACTGAATTACAACAGCGAAGTAATGTATTTAATATGCTGTATTTTGTGGTTGATTCTGGAACTGGCAATATTTTAGGTAGTTGTAACTGCAAACTGTCTTGCTGAATTAGTGAAGCATTAATCAGCTGTACAATGTTTTATTGTGATTTTATAGGTTGGACTTATGTCTGGGACTACCATACTTCTTATAGGATTGGCACTGATTGCAGCTGGCTATCTGGTACCACCGAAGATTGAAGCATTTGGAGAGCAGAATGAAAATTTTCTGGTAGTGGATAGTCATGCTGTTCAATTCAATGTGGCACTAGATACCTGTAAGCTGGCAGGGGCCATCCTCTTTTGCATTGGTGGGATAATAATAGCTGCTTGCCTTCTAATGTCCACCTTTGCCATGAGTTACTCTAAGGAAGAAAAATACCTTCAGCAGAAGTTTAAAGAGAGGATTGCAGAAGCCCAGGCTTCCTTCCAGCCTGTCACTAAGGTACCAGCACCAGGTGAACATAAAATCCCCATCACTTTATCTAAAGTACACAACGTACAGCCCACATTGGAAACCTGAAGTGCAAATATTAGCTCATTGTAAATTAGCAATACCAGCTCAAATCTTTGTAAATGTTTTATCACATTTTATAGAGGTTTAAAAGATGTAGCATAAGGTGCTCAATTCCTAAATTTCAGATCCATGCCTTCATTCAGTGAATCACACAAGAATCTAATGAGAGATTCAGATTTGCATTTCAATTGTACATTCACCAACATCATTCTAACATTCACCAGACTCAGAATACAGATACAAGCTCTAGAAAGTGCCAACTTGCAGAGTATTTTGTTTCCAAGTCTAATGTGAAATGGCTTTTATGTATATTTGAAATAAATTAAATAAAGTATGACTGATGACATAACTGAAGTTCTATAAGTATCTCTGATTCCTACTTTTGTCTGTATTATTTTCTAATTATTAGTCAGCCCAGGGAATTCTAGAGTTGATTCAGAAGTAAAATTGGATCAGTGATCTGAAAATACAATTTATTTATCTTTACCTTTATTGCAAGGGAGTGGAGGGTTATCAAGATTGATGGGAATGCAGATTTGAAGTTACAATCAGATCAGAATGGTGGAACATGCTTGAGGGACTGGATGCCCTACTCCTGGTCCTTGCTCCTATGTTTGTAAGAATGAATTATGGCTGGGGGCTGGGAACAGGTGGTTAGTTCACTGGGTTAAACTTGGGATCTGGATTCAAATACTTTTTCTCTGCTGGTTGTAAAGGCAATCTTAACCCCATTCTTGGGATATGGGTACATTGGACCATCTGGTCCCTACTTTTGGATTTGCTTTAAGTCTGAACAAGAACAGCGAAGTGAAAATATTGATTGATGCAGAGGTGCTTTTCACAGGTTATGACTAATCCACACCATTGGAGAGGAGTAGAGAGAGCTGCACGCTGCATCTGACTGTGTTATGCTTTTGCTTTCACAAGCTTGATGCTGATACAGTGCCTAAAATGCAAATGTACCGCACTTAGACACAGAATGGCTGAGACTCAGCTGTTCTCAGTTTAAAAAGACAACTGGTAGTTGTGTGGTGCCTTTAATGTATTAAGTGTGTCAAAGTGCTTCACAGGAGTGTTATAAAACAAAGGATATCTTAGAGAATATCCAAACAAGGACTATAAAAGTAGTGTGCTATATGTGTGCCCATTGAAGCTGGAGATCAAATGTGTTTATTTAGCTTAATGGGATTGATTGTAATTTTTTTCATACAATTAATTTGTTCAATGGATTACCATTTAAGATAAATTTCCAAAGCTTCCTGAGTGCCACATAATGTGCACAATGAACACAATCCCAAGAAAGAACAGTGAAACCGTACAGCAATGTGCTTGACCCACAGTATTGAGGCCCCTACACATACAATGCAGAAGGATGTCATTTGGCCTTTCATGCCTTTGTCAGACCTTTCTGAAAGCAATCCAAAGCTCATTCCTCTGCCTTGTTCCCTCTTCCTATAATCTTGTCCAGCAAGTCTTCTGGCAGTGGAAAGGTAGTTTTTAATTTTGCCAACTCACTGTCCTCGGCATAAAGGAACAAAAACAGCATTGATTCACTTCATTTTTAATACAGAAACATAAAGTAAAATATAGTACAACATCTGTAATCACCTGGCCAACAAAATATTGATAAAGTATTAAAATGCAATGACATATTTTACATTGGTGAAGTCCTTGAAACTGATATAATAGTGTTATTTACATGGTTTCAAAAATGCCTCGATGATTCACGTACTTTCAGTTCAAGGCATATGATGTGGACAAATTAACATCAACAATATGTGCAAAGAAATGAATCAGTTTTCCCTCACAGCTGTCAAACTGACAAAGTTTCTCCAACTTCTTCAGATGTCATATCTTTTACAAGTCATCAATGGCCACAGTCAAGACCTCAACTAAGGGTGTAAAGATATTGCACCAATGTTGGCTTGTTATTTTCTCTGATGAGTAATCCATTGCAACAAAAAGATCCCTTTCCACTGGCAGAAATACTTGAAATCCATTTCTCCAAGGTTCACTCTCGCCATGGGAATCAAAAGTCTGGGTTTTAAATAGAACCAGAATGAATAAGTGACATTTTACATTTTCATCAAATGGAAAAATCATCCTCAGTCACATAGGGATATACACTGAAGTCATAGAAAAAGGAATTGAAATAATGGTTTAGAACATCAGCTGAAAAATCAGAAAGCCATGATTACATGTGCAATGTTTAACAGTCAAAAGTGAAATGATTCAGTTAAATTTAAAAGGTCTTCCTGGCTTGGTGCAGGAGAAGAACACCATCTGTTCAGCTTCTGGAACTGTGCCAAAACGCTTGAAAGTGTATAGACCTTTGAAATCCCACTCTAGATCCCAGCATGCACGGCACAATGCTACCTAAATTGTGCAACTAACTCTCATATAGAAAGGCCAGGACAATATCTGCTGTAGGAAGTCACTGGACATTCTCTTCCAATTTTCATTTTTAGGCATAATGTTAAGATTGTTACTGGATGAAAGAAAAAACACATTTTTAATATGATACTGAGACACTCTGAACACAGAACATGTTTTCATGTCCCTTATTCCCACAACTCTTGAACAGGAGAGTTCCCAGTTATGTATTCTGTTGACCTCTGCATGAAATGCTATAAGTGTCAATGCCAGGCAAACTGCAGAAGTGTCAACAGGATAAATTTCACTCCATTAAATTTTTCCCACATACTGCTCTCATTTCAGTTCTGCACCTAGAGGCTGCCAGCAGTTTTTTTTCTATTTTCCCACTTACTTGCCTTTTTATTTGGGTCACTTTTTTAGCTATTTGCAAGTGCTTTTCTTTCATTAATGTACTTAACTTCCTTTAAACTTGGTACTTCAGTGTGAATAAAACTTTTTGTTGCATCATCCAAAATCTATTCCTTTTCTTTTCAGCAACTTGAAGGTCCTTCCTCTCCCTGCTTGGAATTTTCTCCTTCCTATTATTAAAAGGCTGATTCTTCAGCCATCAATTCTGAAGGGCACTGCCCAGAAAGTCAAGCTGTTACTTCTTGTTGGATCTCCTATAATTGTAGAATATTGCATTATGTGAAATTTGGTTACCATACATATGTTGGCATTTGAAACAAACTCATGGAATAATCCAGAACTAGAGGGTGCAGATTCAGGATAAGGGCCACCCTTTTCAAACAGGGATGAGGAGGAATTTCTTCTTTCAGCGGACAGTGATTCTTTGGAAATTTCTACCCTTGAAAGCTGTGGAAGCTGAGGAACCGAATATACTCAAAGCTGAGATAGACAAAACACTTTTAACTATAGGGAAGACAAGCGATATTGAAATAATCAGGAATCTGGCATTAAGGCTGAAATCAGATTAGCTATGATTTTATTAAATGGCAGAGCAGGCTTCAAGGAACGGAGTGGCTTGAGTTCCTATTTCTTATGTTCTTATGTTAGTAATGGTAACTGCTCACTACTCAGGAACTTAAGGACAACAAGCAGGGAATAAATAATCCTATAAACTTCCATGTATTTCGCAAATAGATTATAATTTTTCTTCCTATATCTATAGTATTTCACCGTAGGAGCGCGCAATACAATCAATGCTACACTGAGACTAAAAGCATGGAATAGTTCTTTTCTACCTCTTGTTAGCTACTAACAATATAGTGGGAAGATTTTGCAACTGTCAGGGAAAGTATAATCATGGCAAATAGAAGCAGAAATCATAATTTCCGTCAGCTGTGTGCGGGTCTTTGCTTGGAAGCATGGGAACTCACAATACACAGCGAGTAGGCCATGGTTCTGTGTGTTGGCTGAGGGTGTGGAAAGAGTGAAGTCTTTGCAGGAGGATGCAGAAAAACTACTTTTTAAGATTAAATTCTCTCAAACATTTGAATTGAAAACCTGAAACCTGACCAGACCTCCAACACAGTGACATCAGCACACTGCGAGCACATGTGGTTCAAACTGCACGGAATGAGGCCATTTTGTCCAACATGTATGTGGTGATTCTTTCAAAGAACTGTTCAAATAACCATAGCTCCCCTGTTCATTCTTTTCTGCACAAACAGAGGACGGGTCTAAGACTAAGGTTTTAAATTAAATAAGGCCAACTGTGTGGACATGTAAACTGAGCAGGCTGAAGTGAACTAGCATGCTTGGCTAAGGGATAGACAAATGTAGAAACAGTGGCAGATAATTAAGGGGATATTTCAAAATGCTGATATGGAATATAGCTGTGCACTTAGAAAAACGCAATATAATTGGGAAAAGTCAGCCTTGTTTTGTCAAAGGGAAATCATGTTTAACCAGTTTATTGGAGTTCTTTCAAATGAGTAACATACACTGTGGATAAAGGAGAGTCTGTAGATGTATTGTATTTGGAGTTCTAGAAGGTATTTCATGAGGTGCCACATTGAAGGTTTCTGTGGAAAACAGCGTCTCATGGCACAGAGAGTAACATATTAGCATGGAAAGAGTTTGGCTAGTTGAGACAAAATCAGCATAAATGCGTCTCTGACTGGAACAATGTGATAAGGACACACAGGGGTCTGTACTACAGTCTCAACTTCTTACAGTTTACATAAATGACTTAAAGAAGGGGAGCAAAAGCATGGTAGCCAAATTTACTGACAACATCAAAATAGGTGGGAAAGTATGTTGCAAAGAAGAGATAAAGAGGTTGCACACAGATATAGACAGGTTGACTGAATGGGCAGTTGAAGTATAATGTGGGAAAATGTGAAGTTGTTCACTTTGACAGGAAGAATGAAAAAAGTAGAGCATTATTTAAAAAGAGAGTAAATGCAGCATTCTGATGTGCTGAAGGCTTAAGATGTTCTCATTCATGAGTCACAAAAAGTTAGTATGTAGCTGCAGCACATAATCAAAAAAGCTAATGGAATGCCATCCTTCATTACAAAAGGAATTGAACATAAAGATAAGGAAGTTATGGCTTCGGATGCACAGGGTATTGGTGAGACCACATCTTAAATGCTATGTGCAGATTGGATTGCAGCTCAGAGAAAGGTTACTAGACTGATAACTTGAAGGAGTAAGTTGTCTTATGAGGTAACATTGGACAGATTGGGCTTTGTTTCCATTAGAGTTAAGAAGAGTGAGAGGTGACTTGATTGAAGTATATAAGATCCCGAATGGTCTTAACAAGATGAACATAAAAACGATGTTTCCACTTGTGAGTCAGTCCAGAACTAAAAGGCACGGTTTTAAAATTAGGGGGTCACCTTTTAGAAAAGGATAATTTTATCTCTAAGAGGGCACAAACTCTATCTCAGAAGGCAGTAGAGGTGTGATCATTAAATATTTGTAAGGCAGAGGTAGATAGATTTGTGTTAGATGAGAGAATCAAAGATTACGAGGGTTGATGGGCATATGGAATTTGAAACACTAGCAAATCACCCACGGTGTTATTGAGTGGTGGACCAGGCCTAAGGAGGCAACTGGACTACTTCTCTTCCAATTTTGCATGTTTGTATGTTCATATTTATTTAATTTCTCCCTTGATAGTTACTATTGAATCTGCTTCTGCCACCATTTTCAGAAAATTCCACTTCAGATCATAATAAAATATAACTTCAGAATTCTCCCGTCATTCCTGTGGTTTTTCATTCATTGACATTAATGGGTGGAAAATTAATGGGGGATTTGAGCAGGAACTCACTGTTAACACAGGGGCTCGGACAGTTTTGCCTTTAATACCACTTACTTCCTCTCAGTGCTATCCCTGTCACTGCAATGCATTTATTCCCTGACTCTGACTTCATTGTACTGCGCATCAAGGTTAGTTCAGATACTACTTCCTGTACACCTCTGAATATACTCTGCCTCCTGGACCCCACTAGCCACTAATCCCAATCATGCCAAATGCATAAGGTGAGAGAAATGCAAGAAATTAGTACACTGATAGCTGCAGGATTCAAAGTAACATTTTGCTTTGTGGACATGTGTTGGTCTAAGACCAGCAAATAATTTAACATTTTGTCACAATGATCTAAGATATCAAAGCTGACGTAACAGTCAGTCTGCTTTAATTTATATAGAATCAACGAATGTTACAGAACTGACAGGGGCTTTATCAAATTCAATTTCTTGTACAATACGTTTATATTAATAATAGTCATTCATGTTTAGCCTTTGATATAAAAAGGCTGAATTTTTTTAGTGTCCCATGGCACTCAACATTTTGAGATTACCTTTCAATCCCCAATAATTACAACAGTTGCAGGTTAAACCCCTCCACATGGCTCTAGCAGCTCGTCCAGCACTTACCTTTATATACTATGATTCCAATAGATGTAGGTGAGGCTTTGGTAGCAACTATGTTTTAAATTGTTCAAAACCATCAGCTAATTTTTCAACTGGGCAATCAATATTGTTATTCTGTATGTTTGTCAGAAACCTTTGGTTCCTTTCATTTCCTCTGAGCTTTAACCTGTGCGTATGTGCAGTACATGGCTGTCAAAACATCACAAGACATTTCACTGATAATCAATATCCTGATGAGACTAAAAAGCTCACTCGTATGTTGCTGGGTAAAACTAATTAAATGTGCTCTTGACAAGCCACTTCCCAAAGCCAATGCTATCTGTAAGAATTCACAGCAAGTATACCTGTGGCCCAACTGTTCATAAAGCCAAATACAAACATCCTAACCAAATGTTCACTGGCTTGGAGTTTCAGGGTCAAAGCACTTACTTGTTTCAATTTACAGTCTCTGATTAGTAATAGGCCTTTTGTTAGTTTTTGAGTGGACCTGTCACAAGCAGGACATCTAAACTATGTGAAATAAACAGTACACCCAGGCAAACTTTGGCCAACTTTCACCATTACAAATTTCTAAGTCCACATTTATGATGAAAACTGCTTATGTAAACGGGTCTTGCATCAATTACGTCCTTCTTCTTCAAAGCCATATTATTTCCATTTCTGGAAGAGAGGGTGTAATTATAGATGGTAAGACTGTAGAGAAATTTGAACATCGGAGCTTATAGTGGAAATGTAGGTCTTTAGAAACATGTTATGTTCATGTGGCCTGGTCAAATTATTCCCTAGCCTGCACCTAAAAAGTACTGTATTTAATTACAAGCAAGTGCTTTGGCCAATTATAGAACAACCCCAACAGCCAATGAAACATTTTTGCCCAGACAATTGTTCACTATTGAAGCTAGGGGTGGAACCATAACAATGACATAAAAGGGGATAACAAAAGATAAGGAACTGTGCTATATTTGCTAACTTGCAATGGCTTCAAGATTCACTGAGCCAAAACAGCATGTCCAGTAGCTGGCTGAATGGTTTCATTTCCATCACTCTCTAGTGGACTTGGTATACTTTCCGCAGGACTTGATAATATTTCTCCCAGATTGTCAACATCCTGTTTAAAGGAAAAACAAAAGAAACAGCACAAAAATCAATAGTTATAGATGCATTTTATTTGCAGTGACATTCTATATCAGGTATAATGTTTCAATTAATGTACTATTAGGCTATATATAAGCACTGTATGTACAAAGTTACTAGTCTACATATATTATACCGCACAATTAATCACCTCGGTCTTAATTGTAAGGCAAATTTAACCAACATATTTTAGAATAAATGTATGTAGAGTGTATGTCTCCCTGGCACACAATCCATGCACTAACATACAGAAATGCACATTTTATCTTAGAAATTTCAAAACTGCACTTAGAATAATTTACCAACAGCACAAAGTCAGCATGTGCCACTGTGCAAATATTGAAACAAGATTTGAGTGAGAAAACAAAGGGTGAAATTTAGTTAAAAGGACAAAGGCCTTGATTCTATGCTGTAAGATACACGTGAATAGATGTAATACATTAGCCTCAAATTACTCACTTTGCTACTTAAGCCTCTGTTAAGCTAAGTTGGAATTCTAGATTATTCCATTAAACATTTAATTGCCAGTATTCTACAGCACACCTTTAACCCTAGGGTGGCATGGTGGCTCAGTGGTTAGCACTGCTGCCTCACAGCACCAGGGACCTAGGTTCAATTCCACCCTTGGGCAACTGTCTGTGTGGAGTTTGCACATTCCCCCTGTGTCTGCGTGGGGTTTCCTCCAGGTGCTCTGATTTCATCCAACAGTCCAAAGATGTGCAGGTTAGGTGGATTGGCCATGCTAAATTGCCCATACTGTTCAGGGATGTGTAGATTAGGTGGGTTATAGGTGAATGGGTCTGGGTGGGATGCTCTTGTGGGTTGGTGTTGGCTTGTTGGGCTGAAGAGCCTGTTTCCACACTGTAGGGATTTGATGATGATATGATTCTATGATAATCAAAAACAATTTGTAAAATAAGAGCAAAGATCAAAAATAAATACAATATGGCTGCTGAGGGGCCTTGTCTAGGTAACTGGACCAGAATCATAGAATCCCTACTGTGTGGAAGCAGACCATTTGGCCCATTAAGTATACACTGACCATCAAAAATGCATTCCACCTGAACCCATCCCCCTACCTTACAGCATAGAATCAAGGCCTTTGTAAGACTGCTGTAAGCCTGCATTTCCCATGGCAATCCACCTAGCTTGCACATCTTTAGACTGTGGGAGGAAACCAGACCCTGAGGAAACCCATGCAGACACAGGGAGAACATGCAAACTCTCCACAGACAGTCACCTGAGGGTGGAATCGAACCCAGGTCCCTGGTGCTGTGAGGAAGCAGTGCTAACCACTGAGCCACCGTGCTGCCCCAACTAGTTTTGATGTTTTGTGTGCCCTACCTTTAACAGATCTTTAACTTCCTTATTTGGCTACCTAGTTGCTTGCGGGCAAATAGTCTTGCAAATTCTGAGCCCATGTGATAGTTAGGGCTGAGTGATCGCACGAGCAATGGATCATATCTAAACTCCGCTGTCCTGTTACAAGCAGTTGTGAATGGTGGTGGACAATTAAATAATTCACAGGAGGAGGAGGCTCCATAAATATCCCCATCCTCAATGATGGGAGAGCCCAGTACATCAGTAGAAAGTACAAGACTTAAGCTTCAGCCAGAAGTGTCAAATGGATGATCCATCTCGGTATCCTTCCAAAGTCCCCACTATCACAGACGCCAGTCTTCAGCCAATTTGATTCATTCCACAACGTAATCAAAAAATGGCTTGGAGCACTGTTTACTAACAACAGGCCCTGACAACTTTCCAGCAATGGCGCAACCTGTGTCCCTATACGGCTTAACTCTACCTGGCAATGTGAAAAAATGCTCAGGTATGACCAGTCCACTAAAAGCAGGGCAAATCCAATCATGTCTACTCTCAGTCATCAGCGAAGGATTGAAGGGGACATCAACAGTGGCGCTTGCTCAACAAACACCTGCTCACTGGCACTAGGTTGGGTTACGCCAGAGCCACTCAGCTCCTGAGCTCATTACATCCTTGGTCCAAACACGGGCAATTGAGCCAAACTTCAGAGGTGAGGTGAGAGTGACTGCTTCTGACATCAAGGTAGAATTTGATCAAGTATGGCATCAAGGAGCCCTAGTTTAAAGGCAATCAATGGAAATTGAGCCAAAACCCTCCACTGGATAGACTCATATTCGGCATCAAGAGAGATGGTTGTGATAGACAAGGTCAACTATCTCAGTTCTAGGACATTAATAGAGGAATTCCTCAGGGCAACCATCTTCAGCTGCTTCATCAATGATCTTCGCTCCGTCATAAGGTCAGAAGTTGGGGTGGTAGCTGATGATTGCAAAATGTTCAGCACCATTCACGATCTAAAGGAGTTGCTGTCCAAAAGCAGCAAGACGTGGACAACGTTCAGGTTTGGGCTGATAAGTGACAAATAACATTTGCCCCATACAAATGCCAGACAATGACCATGTCCGACAATGGAGAATCTAACCATATCGCCTCATCAATTAAAATCTCTGAATGCCCTATTATCAATGTCATGGTGGTTGTCATTGTCCAAAAGCTGAACTGTACCAGCATTTAATTACTGTGGCTTCACAAACAGGTCAAAGGCTTGGAACTCTGCAGCAAGTAACTCACCTCAATGCCTATCCAATACAACTCTCCACTTGCCTGAACAAATGCAGCACCAAAACAGTCAAGATGCTTGACACCATCCTGGATTAAGCAACCCGTTTGATAGGCACCACCTTTAAAATCTACTCACTTTACTACTTAAGCTCACTGGCAGCACTGTACTAAACAGTTTACAGCAACTGTACACTGTTTATAGCAACTCATCCAGGCTCATTGGAGTTGCACAGTCTAACCCATCTGGTTCACTAATGTCCTTTAGGGAAGGAAACTGCTTTCCTTACCTGGTCTGCCCTACATGTGACTCCAGATCCACAGTAATGCAGTTGACTCTTAACTGCCCTCCGGGCAATTAGTGATGGCCTAGCTAGCGATGCTCTCATCCCGTGAACGAATAAAAAAAATCAGAATTCTAGATTCAAGGGACACACTGTAGTTGAGTACACAAAATCAAGGCTGACACGCCACACCGAAGGGGAGCTGCACTGTCAGAGGTGCCATCCTTTACTTGAGATGGGGCACAGGAGACATCCAGTGAAGCACTGAAACATGATGGGGTGGATTCCTGGCCATGTCCTCCACTATGGGAAGAATCCATTGGACAATCAGTGTCCAAAGATCACCCAAACATGAATTATAAATTGTGCCCCTTTTCAGGTGGACATAAAAGGTCGATCTGATGCATTTTGGAAAATGCTATATAAATGCAATCTTTCCTTGATGCCATCAGCCAACTTAGCAATGCTGCAAGCATTACCAGCTTCCAAATACATCATATTCACTTCAATCAAATCACAGAGTACAGACGAAAATCAAGTAGAAAGCGCGGCAGAATTAGCTGTACATCAATGAGACGAAAACCAACTTCAAACAAAACAAAGCTACACAAAAATTTTAAACAGCAAAATGACACCAGCGGTAAGATGCAGGGCATGATATCTAATCTCAGACAGCAGAAAAAACATTAAAAACTGGAACACAGAAATCAATGAAACAGCTCAGTTGATTGATTGGATTTCTTACTTATATGCACAAAATTCCTCAGTTCTTTCACAGTTCAGCAACCTCATACATTAAAAAAAATTGAGTTGATTAATACAATTAAGTAAGAGGAAAGTACTAACTAATTAAAAAATAATTGAAATGCTATATTTAGATTATTTTTATGATATCTTTCTGCCTCCACTGTAATTTCTTTTATGTTTATTGCATTACTAAGGAGTTTGTAATTTGAGAAAGACTAGAGATTGGACAAATAAATGGAAGAGACACGAATGCAAATACAGATTTAACCACTACTATTGTTGATCTCAACCAGCTTGTTGGGGATGGGGATCTTTATTCATTGTGGATTATTCTGTAAAATGCTGCTGAATTCAAGATCAGAAACTGTTCTCACCAAGGCAGGTAATCTTTTGAATTTTAGTTCAGCTTTTTCTCTACAGTTTTTCTGACTAACTAAAGTGAGTCTAGTGTATCAATCCTGGCTGAAGGTTTACATGTGGTCCTAACATTTAACGATTAATCAGAGTTAATCAGAAAGGTCTTGACAGGAATCAATTTAAAGGAGTATCAATTCTAACTAAAGGTGCACAATCATGTGTCATTCTCTAGCAAATTAACATGTTAATTAGTTTTATTTTGAATCTACTGGAGACCATCTGTTGAGACATGTCAGACTGGTTCATGGTTGCCTTTTCGAATGTACACCTCATAATTTAAAGTTAGAGTGACTAGACTTCCAAAAGTCATAGCTGGGACACATTGAGATGCCTTCAGAAGGCTGGGTTCTGTGATGGCACACATGAAGGACAACCAAAAGCAGGAATCTAGGAGTGGACAACATCTCCTAGAACATTTCCAACCAATGTTGGCAAGCTTATTTTAAAAAATGGTTGAATATGCCCCTTGATTTGGATCTCATTAGTTAGTGTTCTGTCATGTCACATGTTTCTGTTTTGCCTTTAAGTTGGTCCTTACCAGTATCAATCACTTTCACATCCCACTTCTGACCTTATGATGGAGGGAAGGTCATTGATGAAACAGCTGAAATGTTTGGGCCTAGGACACTACCCTGAGGAACTCCTATAGAGATATTCTACAGTTGAGACAACCAGCAACCATAACCATCTTCCAAAGTGGCAGGTACGACTCCAATCAGTGGAGAGTTTGCCCCCTGATACCAATTAATTCCAGTTTTGTTCAGGCTGCTTTGATGCCACAATGGGTCGAATGCAGCCTTGATATCAAAGGCTGACAATCTCACCTCACCTCACCCCTGGAATTCAGCTCTTTTGTCCATGTTTGAACCAAGGCTGTAATGAGGTCAGGAGCTGAGTGGCCCTGGCGGAACCCAAACTGGGCGTC